GAGGCCCCTGCTCCGCAGCCCTGGACTGTGTTCCTTGTTCCCTGGTCACGTCTTCTGTGTTCCCTAGTCATGTGTGCCCGAGTCTGGTCTTCGTTCGTTCCCGAGTCTCCTGTGCTTTGTGGCTTGTGGGCGTCTGGTATCCGCCCCTTAAGGGGGGGGGGGGGTACTCTCATGATCCGCCCCGGCCTCCCTGACTGTGTCTCTCCTGCCCTTGATTAACCTTGTTGTTCTCACCTGTCCCTCATTACTCTGCCCATGTGTTCCTGATTCCCTTGTGTATTTATACCTCCCTCCTTGTTGCTGTCTTTGTTGGATCATTGTTGTTTGTGCATGTTCGTTTGTCCTGTCGCTCCCAGTCTACAATTAAACCATTTTTATTTTTTCATCCATTGCCTGCTCTTCTGCCTCCTGAAACCCACCACCACACATGGTCTGCCATCTCCACCCACAGAACATGACAGTATCAAAGGCTTTCTTCAAATCAATAAGAATTCCCAGAACATATTTTTTCCTATCAAGAGTTGTGGATTTGTCTTCAACCAATTCCATTAGAGCTTGTGAAGTGGATCTACCTGATCTAAAACCATACTGGCTGTCCAATAAAATGCATAGTTTTCTACAAATTCTTCCAGCTTGTCATTGTAAATTTTTTCCAATATCTTTGAAAACTTAGGTAACAAGGAGACTGGTCTGTAGTTTGTAAATTGATGCTTATTGCCAGATTTGTAAAGAGGAACCACCTTAGCCACCTTCATTTTATTTGGGAATATTCCTGTTTTAAATGATAAATTACATATATACGTGAGAGGTTCAACAATACGGTCAATAGTTTGTTTAACTAAAAACATATCTATGGCATCTCCATCTGATGAGAATTTAGTTTTACATACTCTGACAGTTTCACGAATATACTTTTGAGTTACTTCAAGTAGTAATGATTCCACCACACCGTCCAACTCACCATAACCATTGGATTCAGACTCCACATAACTATTTGTTTTGCCTGCTAATTTTGGACCAACCCCCACATACAATTCATTTAAATGTTCTACTATCATCTGTCTATCATAAATGTCACAGTTATTACTGACAAAATAATCAGGATGGATTATGCCCTCACAGCCCTTCTTAATTACTGTATTTAACACGTTCCATATTCCTTTGATGTTACTTTTATTCTTATCAATCAAATTACTATAATTATTCTTTCTACGCATCCTCATTATATTAACAAATTTATTTTTATGTGTTTTATATTTTTGTTCAGCTTCGTTGGTTCTGTGTAATATAAATAGCTTATATAATGTGTTCTTTTTTTTACAAGCATTTTGGATCCCCTTTGTCATCCAAGGCTTCTCTGAATATTGATTTCTAAAACTATGCCTTATCATCGGACAATGCTTATCATATTTGCTTTTGTAAATATCCAAAAATAGGTTATATGCAATATTCACATCATGTTCACTATATATACTATGCCAATTAACACTACATCGTTCCTCTTTTAGATTTTCCAAATCTTCTTCCTTTCTTCTCCTTTTATACACTAAAGTCTTAGCTGGTTTTTCTTTCTTAAGATGGCAATTGTGGATAGCAAACACAGGGAGAGGATCTGTTGGGTATGTTATCAATAGTCCACTATCCATAATACTTTCCACATTATTAGTAAATACATTATCAATAAGAGTGGCAATATCAGCAGTTATTCTACTTGGTTTTGTAATAAGAGAAACCATATTCATACTGTACATTAACTCAAGAAATTCACAATTTTCTTATGTGCTTTAGCGTTCAGTAAATCTATATTAAAGTCTCCACACATGTAGGTTATCTTGCTTTTGTTTAAAATTAAAATATTTTCCATAGTGACCATAAATGTGTCAGTGTCACTTCCTGGTTTCCTGTATACACATTGAATAACTATATTTTTTGCTTGCTTAATACTCACTTCAATAGTTATACATTCCATAACTTCATCAATAACCATAGACAAGTTTTCAAAAAAAAAATTATATGAAAGGGATTGATCAATGAAAAAGGCCACCCCTCCACCCTTCCCATTCCTATTGATACAATGAAAGTTATAACCCTGCAAAAAAAAAAAAAAAAAAAAAAAAAAAAAAATCCTTACACTGCTCTGAATCTATCCATGTTTCAGATATGGCAATAATGTTAAATTACCTCACAAATTTATCAATATAATCTTTAATATTCTGAAAATCAGCATGAAGACTTCTACTATTAAAATTAATTATAGATAAGCCTTGCTCACATTTAATAGTTGCATTTTACAGTTGGTCAGTAAAATAACCACTTAATTAATGTGTGCTACAAAGGAAATTTTGTTCTGGATCAATATCCTGTTCAAAATCACCCCTGCAAAAAAATATCAATTACATAAAGAAAATTAGATAAATAAAACAACAACTCCCACAAAAGTAAATAAAAAATAAATTAGAACATAAACAACAAAACTTTCAACCTTATTACTTCATATTTTCCAATTGCTTAATATCTCTGATCCATAGCCCACAACTTTTTTCAGGAGCACCTTTCTGTTTGATAAACACCTTGCAAATCATAATCCAGGGAGACTCTATGTATCCCTGTTTTTTCATTTGTCTCGCTCTACGAGCAATATCTGCATTTTACTTCATAAGATTTTCATTCATGTACACATTTGTTCCCTATAATTTCCTCCCTTGTTTGAGCAAATCCACTTTGTGCTTCCTACTATTGAAGCGAATCATAATAGCTGGTATCACAGATTTGTCCTGATGTTTCTTGAAGGGTAATGAATGGCATGCCTCAATGTTTATTTTATCAACCAAAATGTCTTTACTTTTCAGAAATGACACAACCTGCTCTTCTGCTGTATCATCTTGGTCAGCCCCATTCTCATCACCTATTCCCTTTATTGTTGGAGGTAGCTTTTCAGCCTAATTTTAAGACCTGCAATGATTATATTATTCATTCTTGACTGCTGTTCTAGCTCTGCCATGTGATTTTCGAGCAAGTAAATTTTCCTTTCTTGTTCCATATTGTACATTTTAAGATCTTTGATCTCAGCAAGTAAGTCCTTAATGCAGGCTTGCTGTTTAGTCATAGTCATCAGCTCAGCTGTCATCATGCTCACAGAGTTCTTTAACTTCTCCATATCTTTCTGTAGTACTTTCATCGCCATTTTCGTGGCCTGACACGAAGACCCGGAGGCAGACAGCGGCACCCGGCCGCTGGGCCCGGAGGCCGGTGGTGTAGCCTTGAGATCTAGTCAGCACAAGCAGGCCGCAGCAGTAACAGATCCAGTGGCATTCAGCAGAATTTTGCAGCAAACAGCTGGCAGCAGGTAACCAGTAGGATGAGGCCGGTCAGCATAAGCAGGCCACAGCAGTTCCAGTAGAACTCAGTAGATCCAAGCAGCTGATAGCTGGCAGCATGTAGCCAAGAGGTTGAGACCTTAGCTGCTTAGCGGCTCCTTAGCAGCTGGCAGCCAATTAAACCTCCAAACTTTCTGTTTTTCTTTTACCTGCACAAGGCTTTTTACTGGTTCAGTCCTCTTGGGGAGAAGCCAGATCAATATGTTTGCAGAATCTCTGCACATCTCTGGGAATCTTCTTTCTCTTTGATTATGAACACAGACTTTGTGAATGGCTCCTTTTGCAGTTCACCACAGCTTCTTCAGCCTCTTTATTGGTTTTCTGTCAATTGTTGTTCTTTTTGTTTCTTATTTTGGTTTTCTTCAGTTTGCTCAGTTCTGCACAGACTAGACTAAAATTAAATGAGGCGGGGCAGCAGCAGCTCACAGGTAGAGTGGGTTGTCCAGTAGTTGAAGGGTTGTAGGACCAATCCCGACAGAGAATGCTTCTATTGTGCCCTTTGGCAAGATACTTCACCCATCTTGTCTGCTGGTGGTGACTGGGGGGACTGGTGGCACTAGTGTTCAGTAGTCTTCCCTTCTTCAGTGCGGCCTAGAGCAGCTGTGGCTAAGTTGTAGCTCATCATCACCAGCGGGTGAATGACTGATTGTGTTGTGAAGTGCCTTGGGGGGTTGTAGAAGGTGTTATACAAATATAGACCATTTACTATTACATATAAAAATAATGTCAAAATGAAAACATGAGTTTAGTCATGTTCATCTGTAAAGCTGCTAGTTACAGTTACTACTTTACTAACTAGAAGCACCACTGTGTTACATCATTGTCTTTGGTTCAGAATCGAGGTGATATTTCTTTGAATCTCATTCCTGCATGTCCACTTGCCAGTTTCAGAAGTACCTACAGGATGTCAGTATTCCTACTCATGAGCAACACCCTGCTCACAAAAAAATGCTCCTTATCATTAAAGTAAACTGGTTTGTTTATGTTTAACAGCATGGGTTAACAGTTGGGGGAAATCCACCAGTGGTTCTACATTTGGAACCGAAGTTACTTTGTTGCTTCAGATTACAGCTAATATTCAAACCAAGCCTAGTCTGAGCAACAGAGCAGCCCCGTGCACGTGTCTGTTGACACGTGCACAGTTGATACACGTGTAACGATTCAGGAAATTGTGTGATGCCTCAGTTTCTCTCCCAACATTGGTTTGAAGCTTTTTATATCTACATTTGTCTATTTATCATAATACTCTACATTCATGTCTGTACTTTTATTGTATGACAGCATCACTGGCGAGTGGGGGATGGGTTGGGTCAAAGGTCACCAGCAGTTTTCTTGTCTATAATCTCTGACCCAGTTCCAACCAAATAGAAAAATACTTTAACTTTTAAGGTTTGGTGTGAAATCATGTTACCAGTCCAGAAAATATTCATGTCAAAAGGTAAACAAAGCTCTTTATCACCAGCAAAGTGGAAGTGTCACTAGTTAATCTTTTCACTGAACAGTTTAGGTATCAGTGAAGATAAGGAACAATGAGTCCGCTCCTCTGTTAGTTTCATGGTGAAACAACTGACATCATACAGCTAAATGAAGGCATGCATGAAGTTCACTGAATTTATCATTTCAAAACTTTCTGTTCATCTATTTCTTCATGTTCTGTCTTCATTTTCCTCTCCCACTGATTACACTTGTTTTATTGCGGGATGGGTTAAAGTTTAATGACTTGACTGCCCGCGTTCCTCGCCTATAAATTTCTCTGTTTTTGAGCACTCTGCTGTTGAGAAAGATTACGGTAAGCTAAATGCTCCTTTATGTTTCTAAAAACTAAATTTCAAACGTTTTAATTAAAATTACTGAACTGACTTTAGAAGTGTAACAGTTGGAAATTTGGTGACTATTCCGTATAAATGTCTTATGTGTTGCTCAACTAAAGTAGACAATAACTCTGGTTTTGGTCTTGTTACTGACCCCAAAAAAATCTTTAAAGACCAAGTTTACAGAGAAAAGGTTTTTTGAATTTACTTCTTTTTGAAAACGATCAATCACTCTGAGATTCACATGCTGGCTGAGCACAAAAATAGTCTTCTACACCTATTTCCTGTATTAGCTGCTGATAGACCATAGACAGAGAAATGCTTAGATCAGAACAGCCAACAAGGGTTTATATAGAGTCCTCAGAGTAAAATTAACACTTTCAGAATAGTTAAATATTTAACACCGCATCAGAGTTCCTGTATTAACTCATTAAACAGAGTTAAATTGATAAAAGTGGGATGACATGTTTAATTCTGCTCTGAGTAACCATCCATTCATCCATTTTCATCCACTTTTCTTGAGTCCAGTCGCAGGGGCAGTAGCCTAAGCCAAGAGGCCCAGACTTCCCTCTCCCCAGCCACTTGGGCCAGCTCCTCCACATCAAGAGGAGCCAGTTGAAGTGGCTTGGGTATCTGGTGAGGATGCCTCCTGGACGCCTCCCTGGTGAGGTTTTCCGGGCATGTCCAACTGGAAGGAGACCTGAAGGAAGACCCAGGACACACTGGAGGGACAATGTCTCTTAGCTGGCCAGGGGATGTCTTGGCATTTCCCCAAAGAAGCTGGCCCATGTGGCTGGGGAAAGGGAAGTCTGGGCCTCTTGGCTCAGGCTGATGCCCCTTCGATCCAACTCCGGATAAGCGGAAGAAAACGAATGGATGGATGGATGGAAATGAATGTGTCCATGACATTCTTTCAGTCACTACCCAAAACTTGTGACCATAGGTGAGGGTAGGAACTAAATTCAACTTAAATCGAGAGCTCAACCTTCTGGCTCAGCTTCACCATGACAGACCGGTACAACAACCGCGTTACTACAGACGCAGCACCAATATTCATAATAATTAGATGCTGCACTAATAATTTTGTGAACAATTCTGTAGGTTTGTTTTCCTAAGCAGAGAAACTGCCTGAACCTCATGGTAGAAAATCGTTTGCGTTTTGCAGAAAATCACATTGATGGTACTTTTAAATATTGTTTTAATAGATTATTATCAAAATTAAACATATGTTTAATATGTGAATATCAGAGGTCACTAAAACACTTACAAATCTGAAGCTCATGATGTCATTGTTCTACATGGTTGAAAAAGGTCCTGCTTATGACACTCCCATGGCAGCCAGTTTGGCAGGTGTTGCTCAAAAGTTTTCACCGCTAGAGACCACAGTAAATGTACTGAATGAACAAGTAAACTTGGTCTTTAAAGGAATACTAGGCAACTTTTTCATATTTTTTAAATCATTCTCTTGAGCCAGTATGTCCCTTTACAGAGTTAATGAAATGTCAATCAGACCCCACCGTCCTCTGCAGCCAGAAAACTGCACTTGCAACTTCAGAGTTGCCGGTTTGAAACCTGTTGGACTTAGTAAAGTGGAACTGACATGCCTGGTGATGTAGTTTGCTTCCAGCATGTTTCCAGCATTCTTTAGATGGTGAACTGCTGATTTGTCTGATTTAGTGATGAATCATTCCTGTAGACACTAATGAAGGCTGAGGAGACATGTCAGCTGTTAGATTAAGGTGTTTAAAAGACGACCGCACAGCGAGGAGACAAGTCTCAATTTTACCTTCACTGACATACAGTAGGGGGCGCTAAAAGAAAGCCAAATCTACGTAGTATTCCTTTAAAGAATCCATTCTCAAGTTTTGCATTGAAAATGATTTCTTTCTTTATCATCAGAAAACTAAACATATCAGTCAGCACTTGATGAGAATGGTCTCCAAAGTAACAATAGTAGCAGTAGCATTTCTGCTGCTGGCAGCTGTCGGCACTTTTGTGGGCATTTTCTTCGGTGTGAAAAAGAAACACCTGGGATATCTGAAGGCAGCTGTGGCTGCAGATGCTGGACCATGTTCAGAAGTTGGCAGGTGAGAGCTCCTTTCCACGGCGTAAAAACAAGTGAAATTTATTTACGCTTTCATAATTTAACTTTTTTGTTATGTTGCCCACAGAGACATCCTCTTAAAGGGAGGTTCTGCGGTCGATGCCGCTATTTCGTCATCATTATGTGTTGGATTAATGAATGCTCACAGTATGGGGATAGGAGGAGGCTTTTTTATCACCATATTTAATTCAAAAACTGGTATGTCTCGACCTAGCTCGGCTCTCAGCCACAAAATGATCTCTACCTTGTCACAGTCTCAACAACCTCATGAAACAAGTTCATCTGTGTTGGTTTTAATACAGGTCAAATTGAAACCATTGATGCCAGAGAGACAGCGCCACGCAACGCTACAAAGGACATGTTTGGAAACAATGCCGATTTATCTAAGACGGGTAATGTTTAACCAGTATTATCAAACAAAAATGTGGTCAAAGCCAAGTACCTTTTGAAGTAAATCCTGGTCTCTAGGAGGGTTGGCCATCGCCGTACCAGGAGAGATTCGAGGATATGAGTTGGCTCACAGTCGTCATGGCAAACTGCCATGGAAAGAGTTGTTCCAGCCCAGTATTGAGATAGCAGAAAAAGGATTTCCACTGGGCAGAGCACTCGCCATAGCTTTGTCCAAAAACAAAGACACCATCATTAAGGACACAGCTCTGTGGTGAGAAGCATCTGTCTTTGACTTCTTCTCTTTAGCTGTTATCACCGGTGTCTTACATATGCTCCTCTCTTCTTACAGTGAAGTGTTTTGCGGGGCAAATGGTGATGTCCTGAAAGAAAACGAAACAATTAAGTTCCTCAAACTGGCTGAAACTTACAGAAAGCTAGCCGAGAATGGTGCTGGAGAATTTTACGAGGGACAAACCTCTCAAAATCTAATCAAAGACATTCAGGCAAAAGGTAGTGATTTCAGTATCCAAAAAGCTGTTGACATTGTTTTCATATACTTTATTTGACAAGAACAGTTCAGGTCACAAATAGAAACACTGCTTTTCTTCCACTTTTTGTGCAAAGGAGCAACCTTAACAATGCCATAAGTTCAAAGGTACAAGGTATTTTATAGGAAGGAAAAGACACAATACTAGCAACAGGTGCAACAGTGGTATTACATTTCAAGCATGGGGCAATGGTCACCTGGTAAAGTCTGTCCATGCAATGTGAGGAAATGTAGGCCTACTGACTTTATGACCATTTTTGTGGTCACAAGTTAGGTGAAGTCCAGCATACTGCCCTCTTACTTCCAGAATTTTTATTAAGATAAATAGTCCCTAGTTGGCCTCATTTAAAGGTGTGGAACACTGAAATTTTTTTAAATCTTACTTCTGATTAAAATCGGTCACTCTTAGTTTTTCATGCAGGCTGACCATGAAAATAGTCTCCTACACCAGTCTCCTGCATTAGCTTCTGATAGAAAATAGACGGTTAAACTCTAGGATTTGAAAAGTCTGACAGATCTAGGTCACACTGTCACTTCAAGGGATATTCCACCTCAAAGTGAAATTTTGTCTATGACCACATTCCTCAGACTACCAACTTGGCTGGTTACAAAATTCTATTTTCTCACAACTCTAACTCTGGGGAATGTGGTAATAGACAAAATTTCACTTTGAGGTGGAATATTCCTTTAACATTCATGGACTCACCCATCTTGACTCACGACAATAAAGGCTGTTGTTGGTTTAGCGTCCAGGAAACAGCAGCGAATGTCTCAACTAGTGTAAACTAACCTTTAGCATGAGCAACTCCACATGGTAGAACTCATGCAAACTTCTTTTATTTGTGGAGATGAAACACACCCGTTGCAAGTCAGCGGTAGAGTTACGTTGCTATTATTCAATCCGGGGTGAGATGTCGAAATATCAGGAAATAAGACTCTATAACCTGCCATCTGAAACTCAGCTGTAACGTGGCTCACTTCTAGTACCTAGAAATGATCCACCGGTATTTTTTGCCCCTCGACTACAACTTACAAAGAATTCTTTCCTACTACAGACCACAGTGAATGTATTGATTGGAGGAGTGTTCCACACCTTTAACAATGTTTTATAAACACTCACCTTCTATGCTCAAGATCATTCACTTAGATTTAATTATGAATTTTATAATAATATTCATTGCTAGTTAGAGGGGAGTGGAGTTTTCTTTTCTGCTTCTAATTTAGCCTCATACATCTTATTTTTTATTTTATTTATTCTTTATTTAACCAGGAAGGTCCCATTGAGATGAAAAACTCATTTTCAAGGGAGTCCTGGCCAAGAGGCAGCAAAATTTACAGTTACAAATGTTTTACATACACTCTTATCCAAAATAAGTCTGCAACATTTTTAGCAAGAACAAATGTGTTCAGGAAAAAAAAGTTTGAGTTTGTTAGTCCTGACCATGTTGTAAGAGATTCAGTCACATCCTTATCTAGCTGTGTACACTTTTTCTTAGCCAGATGAGCTTCTTTGCAGGTTAATGAGGATCTGTATTCCTATTTCTGCTCATATGTGTATTCTTCCTGTTTAGGTGGCATCATCACAATGGAGGATCTGAAGGATTATGTGCCTGTTTTGGATGAGAATCCTTTAAGAGTAAATGTGGGGGAGTACACCATGGTTGTTCCCAATGCCCCCGCTAGCGGCCCTGTGCTATCGCTGATATTAAACATCTTACGTGGTAAGCCTTGATGCTCTGTCCAAAAGAACATCCTGAGTGGGAGTGAATGTTCCTCGGTCTGAGCTGCCTTCCAGTCACTCTCACAGAAAGGAAGCAGCTGTAAGCGACATTTTTGGGTACTGTGCAGGAAATCCATACTTAAATGGTTCTTTAGGCTTAATGTCACCCAAAATAAGCACAGTTAGGTAATATATGCCTCATTTCTTCCTACATTCTGTTCTTGGTATTTGCATGGTTGCTTCTTCACCCACTTTAATATTTCCCTCTCTCAAATACTCTTCTTGTTGTTTCCTTCATGGCTGACCTTGGGTTCCTCCCTCAGACTGGACAGTTTTGTGATTAGATCTCAGTAGAAGTTATGCATTTGGATCCTTCTCAGACACAGAGATTTTCTTCTCTGGGCGACGGTGGCACAGGAGTTAGGTGCTCACCCCATAATCGGAAGGCTGCAAGTACGAGCCCCACTCAGTCTGTCACTGTCGTTGTGTCCTTGGGCAAGACACTTAATCCACCTTGCCTGCTCGTGGTGGTCAGAGGGACTGGTGGCACCAGCGCTCAGCAGCCTCGCCTCTGCCAGTGTGTCCCAAGGCAGCTGTGGCTACATTGTAGCTCACCCCCACCAGTGTGTGAATGTTTGTGTGGATGGGTGAATGACTGATTGTGTTGTAAAGCGCCTTGGGGGGTTCCAGGACTCTATAAGTCGCTATATCAAGAACAGGCCATTCATTTACTTAAAACATCACGATAAAATATTGATAATTATATCAAGTTGAAAAGTACTCCTTACATGTCTACATCAAAATGTAAATTTTAAAATAAAATGAAACCAAAAGATTTTTTTGTTAATTAGCTTTGTTTAATAGGGTCAGTGGAGTTTTAATAGGATACAAAAACTCTGTTCTATCATGTGGTTGACTCTAGAATCTAGAAATGTTATAAACCATTACATTTTACCTATTAATGATCTTTGAACTGGACTGACGTGCTAACTACTAGTAATGGCCATCCAGCGCCAAAGTGTTTTAAAGCCATTTCAAAATAACTTGTTTGTTTTTCTTCGCTTATCTTGTAAATCAAGAGCCTTGCCTTCTGGCTCAGCCCCCTCTTCACTACGACAGACGCTGCCCCAATCCACCTGTCGATCTCCCGCTCTCTTCTTCCCTCCCTCACTCGTGAACAAGACCCCAAGTTACTTAACTCTCTCGACTCAGAGTTGGCAAGTCACCCTTTTTCGGTCAAGAACAATGGCCTCAGATTTGGAGGCGCTGATCCTAATCTCAGCCGCTTCACACTTGGCTGCAAACCCATTCAGCAAGTGCAAGAGATCAGAGCTGGATGAAGCAAGGAGGACCACATTATCCGCAAACAGCAAAGATAAGATTATCTTGCCACTAAACTCGACACTATGGCTGCATCAAATTATGCCCATAAAGGTAATGAACAGAACCGGTGAAATAGGGCATCCATGGCGGAGTCCAAACCTCACTGAGAAAAGTTTCTACTTGCTCACACTCCTCTGGTACAGGGACTGAATGGCTCTTAGCAGGCCATCCACCCCATACTCCTGGAGCGCGCCCACAGGGTACCCCTAGAGATATCATCATAAGCCTTTTCCAAGACAACAAACCACACATGGATTGGTTGTGGAATCTCCCATCCCCCCTCCATCGCCCTAGCAAGGGAAAATAGCTGGTCCACAGTTCCACGACCAGGATGAAAACCACAATGCTCTTCTTCTATCCAAGATCCAACTATCGATAGGACCCTCCTCTCCAGTATCTTGGAGTAGACCTTTCCAAGGAGGCTGAGGAGTGTGATCCTCCTATAGTTGGAGCACACCCTCTGGTCCCCCTTCTTAAAGATGGGGACCACCACCTCGATTTGCCACTCCACAGGAACTACCCCGAGTGACCATGCAATGTTGCAGAAGTGTATCAACCACAATAGTCCTACAACATCTATACCATTGAGATACCCAGGATGGATCTCATACACCCCCGGGACTCCACTGCTGTGTTGTTGTTTCACTACCTCATCAACTTCTGCCCCAGAGATTGGAAAGCCCATTCCCAGACCTCCTAGCTCTGGTTCCCCATCAGAATATGTGTCGGTGGGATTGAGGAGCTTCTCAAAGTATTCCTTCCATCACCCAACTATAGCCCTAGTTGGCATCAGCAGCCCACCATCCCCACTGACAACTGTGGGTAAATTGCTGCCTTCCTCTCTTGAGGCGCCGGATGGTTTGCCAGAACCATTTTTGGAGCTGATTGATAGTCTTTTTCCATATCCTCACCAAACTCTTCCCCTGCCTGAGATTTTGTTTTGATAATTGCAACCGCTGGAGCCTGCTTTGCTGTCTGGTACCTGTCTACTGCTTCCAGAGAACCACAGACCAACCATGCCCTGCAGGCCTCATTCTTTAGCCCAACAGCTCCCCTAACCTCTGATGTCCACCAGCGGGTACAGGGGTTGCCACCACAACTGGCACACGCCAACTTGTGACCACAGCTAGCCATACCCACCTCAACTACCAGAGAGTGGAACAGGGCACATTCAAACTCAATGTCTCCCACTGCTCTCGGAACGTGGTCAAGGCTCTGCCAGAGATGGAAGTTGAAGGCCATCTTGACGGCTTCTTCTGCCAGGCATTCCCAGCAGACCCTCGCTATATGTTTGGATCTACCAGGTCTGCACGACATCTTTTTCTGCTATCTGATCCTGCTCACCACCAGGTGATGATCAGTTGACAGCTCCACTCCTCTCTTCACCCGAGTGTCCAAAACATATGGCCGCAGGTCAGATGATACAACTAAGAAACCAATCATCGACCTGCGACCAAGGGCGTCCTGGTACCATTAAACCAATGGGCAACTTTATGTTCGAACGTGGTGTTTGTTATGGCCAAACTGCGATTTGCACAGAACTCAAATAACATAACGTTGCTCGAGTTGAGATTGGGCGGGCCAATTCTCCCAATCACACTTCTCCAGGTCACGTTGTTATTGCCCATGCACGTGAGCATTGAAGTACCCCATCAGAACAATGGAGTCCCCAGTCAAAGCACCTTCTAGCACTTGTTCCAGGGACTCCAAAACGGGTGGGTTCTCTGCACTGGTATTAGGTGCATAAGCACAAACAGACAGGACCCGTTTCCTGAGCTGAAGGCGCGGGGAAGCTACCCTCTTGTCCCCTGGAGTAAACCCCAACATACAGGCTGAGAGATTTGAGGCTAATAGAAAGTCGATCCCCGGCCACTGCGTCTCATCCAGAGCAACTCCAGCAAAGAAAATAGTCCAACCCCTCTCAAGGACTTGGGTTCCAGAGCTAATGCTATGTGTCAAGGTGAGTCCGACTATATCTAGTCCGACTATATCTATCCGGTACTACTACAGTGAGTCAGCCTCTTCCACAAGCTCCAGCTCCTTCCCTACCAGAGAGATGACGTTCTATCTCAATAACCAGTTTCCTTGTTTGGGGATCGAACTGCTACCCAATCCACAATGCACTGGGACCCTTCACGTTCCTCTTGTAAGCAGGGCAGCCACAGTGAGTCAAAATAGCTCAAATCTGGAAAAAATAAAATCTAGCAGTTCAATATTTCATGCACATTTTTCTGTACGTTCACTTCAGTTTCACATCACACATTAAATCATAGTTACTTTCAAGTGCAAGTGTATGCATCAAGCAAGGTGTAGCACTCGTTGTGCAGCCTAACTCATCAATATCAAAACATTCCTGCCTGATTACCATGTAATGTGAAACAGGAAGTGATGTAAAGATTTAGAAAATAGCGTTAGCATAAACACCAATGGGGAGAAGTCATGCTCTACTTCTAGACCTCTTCTAGACTAGCCTTCTAGTGTACAAGTCAATGGGGTGAAAATGCTATTTTCAAATCTTGTTAGTTATGTCCCATGGATTTCACATATGATGTCCATGAATTTTAAAGATGCATTTTGATGCCAAGAACACACTTATTTTTGAACAGGGGTGAATATTCTTTTAGGTTTTGTGTGAAAATATGTTCTGCACTACAAATGGACATCACCAAACTTGACGTTATTGAACCAAACATGAGGAAAAGCTGAGGAAAAATGGCTGTAAGTTCAGAGAACTTCCAACCCTTCAGTCAAGAGGAAAGAACCACCATAAATCTGGCCACATGCTAAGTGGCAGCTATGCTAGGGGAGAGGAGACTCTGTGGTGACGTCATATATGCAACGGGCTGATGTCTGGTTTTACTTTGTAGTGGTGCTAATTACAAACTTTTACAAGATAATGAATCTTAAAGTATGTGACACATCATTACTTTTCATTTAAATTGAAGTACAACATATGTGTGATTCAGGGTGTGAGGCAAAGCAGATCAAAAAGTAGCTCTTTTAGCCCCATTAACTTGCATTCATTTTTTTTGGTTCTTCTGGGCACCCATGAGCCGATCGGAAAGGGAGGAGACTTGGGCTCTCTATACACGTTTGTTGTTTACACTAGCTGTTGGCTTAAGCTATTTGCAACAGTCTTATTTGCCATCATATAACCTTGTCTCATTGCTTTCTACATCATCTGTGTGATAGCCTGTCTTAGTAGGTCACACAGACTGTAAAATCCAAGCTGCTGGTCTGTAATGATACTGTCACGCCGCCTCAGCTTCTTGTCAAAACGCTGACAGCATCGGCTGCTGAGGATTAGATGAGAAACTTTCTTCTAAAATAATTAGTCATCAAAAACTCCCTCCTTTGCTTTGACTGGCTACCCACTCACTGTGCCCCCCTGCCTCACACTACAACACTAATAACACAGATGTACCTCTAATTGGACACGGCTGACTTGCTGGAGCTTGACTGACTTTGTCACTGACCGAAGTGCTCATCCTGCTGATTTACTGTGACTCCACTAACCTAACTTCTCTTCCTTCTATGGCTCTTAGCTCAGCTTAATTTCCTTTGTAAAATCACAGCAGCTTTTCGGCACAAAAACAAAACGAAACACAAAGTGGGTCAAGATCAGAGTGGCCCTGTCCTTAAGAATAAAAACATCTTGAGAAAGCCACTTATTCAGTTTGATGCTAATTAAGTTTGTATTTTTTCAGGCTACAACCTCAGTGCAGAAAGTGTTTCTACCCCAGAGAAAAAGATCCTAACCTACCATCGCATTTTGGAGGCCTTTCGGTTTGCTTACGCTAGAAGAAGTGTTCTTGGAGATCGAAACTTTCTCAACATCACAGATGTAAGTTCAAAGACGGAGAATTATGCAGTGATTCATTTGGTGGAAAAAAAAACTTTGTTTAGAGCTTAATTAATTACATTTGCAGCAGCTAATACTATCAACATAAAACTTTATTCAGGGCTGCCACCTCACGCGTTTGATGTTGCCACCCCAAATTTGACCCTCTTCACACACGCTCTCACGCCAAACCTCCAATATCACTCTGCTTAATCACCCCCCTCCACCCCCACCCGACTCACCAATCTTGACCCACCACGGGGAAGGCGGTTGATGGTTTAGCATCCAGAAATCAGCAGTAGAAGCTAACCGTTAGCATCAGCAACCCCACCACATGGTAGAAACATCAACATTGCCAGTCAGTGATTAAGTTGCGTTGCTGTTATTCAATCTGAGACATGATGCCCAATTCTCCAATACATTCTCACACCTGAAGCGTTGACAACTGACGATGGGTGACCAAGCGTTTGTTTCCGACAGGAGGCAACACGCTGTGCCAGAGCGTTGCTTTCCGACTCCCACGGTAAAATGCACATTTCACCAACATTTAACCTCTAACCTCTTGCTATTTAACCTTCACACTAACTTTAACCCAGTTTCTCATTCGAAACTTCCTGTTAACCATGTTGGAGAGGGATGTTACAACTAGAAACAAAGTTTTGCATGCACAAGAGGGTTAAGGTTAGGATGGGGGTGGGGGAAGGTTTTATAGCAAGACAGTAAAGGTCACAATTCAGTGAAATCTCCGTTTTACCACGGCAGTTGGAAAGCGACGCTTAGGCACAGCATGTCGGCTCCCAACGGTTTGTCACCCATCGTCATTTTTTGGCACGTCGGGTGTGAGAATGTGTTGACTCATCAGAAAATAAGACTCCAAAACCTGCCGTCTGAATCTTAGCTGTGTGGCTCACTACTAGTTCCTGGAAATGGTGCACAGGTATATTCCCCCATACCCCCCGAGTACGATTTACAAGGCATTCGTTCCTTCTAGAGACCACAGCAAATACATTGGTTAAACAAGTGAATCACACCTTTAATTCATGCTCTCTTAACCAAATGCACGCCAACAGGTAAAACCTAAAGCAGGAAATCTGCACAGTTGAAGATTAGAGTTTTGCAAAACCTAATCAAAGCTTTTATCTGTTATCTTTTTGGTAATGTGCACTCTAAAGTTTTTCATTTATGAATGCACACAGAAGTTTAATCAAACTTGTCTCCTTCAAAGTTTATCCAGAACATAACATCCAGTTCCTATGCTGATGCCACCCGTGAAAAGATTACGGATGAAACCACACATCCCATAAACTATTATGAGCCAGAGTTTTGGATTCCTGACAACCACGGGACGGCACACCTGTCAGTAGTATCAGAGGATGGAAGTGCCGTGGCTATCACCAGCACTATTAACCATATGTAAGACCTCCTGATAAACTACCAAGTCTTACGTCTTGCACCAAACGATCCTAGAAATTATTGTCATTTTGCAGGTTGGGCTCCAAAGTCTTGTCCAGATCTACAGGAATTCTTCTCAACAACGAAATGAATGATTTCAGCTCTCCCAACATCACAAATGGATTTGGGGTTCCTCCTTCACCCAACAACTTCATCAAGCCAGGTAAGACCAGCCCAGTACTTTCATACAAAGAGACAAATCTCTCTTTTACGATGTCAACGCCACTCAAATTTGGCATCACAGTGGTCCCTCAAGGCTAGAAAAGGTGAAATGCGTAGTAGTGACGGACCATTTTAATTTTAAATTTGAAAGAATTTTTCTGAATGATAGAGGGAAAAATACGTACGGTCTTCACAGGCCACAAAAATACAAACATTTTTGCTGAATTTTTATTTGTACTGCTCAAAAGGCCTTGAATACACGTCAGCTAAATCAGAACATAAAAATGTAAAATAATTTGCTGAAGAAACAAAATTTCATAGTTCTAGAAATGCAAGTGCAATATCAATCTGAGGGCCACAAATGGCTCCAGGGCCGCACTTTGGATACGTCTGCTTTAAAGAAATTAATATTGTAAGAGTTTTGCACAATATTGTTGACATGTATCGTCTAGGTTTAAATGTATTCTCACTGAGTGGATACTTTATAGATATTATTCTCCCTGTTTTCATGGCCCTGTATTCTGCATAGTTTCAAATTGAAGTTAAATTAACTTTTACTCAAAGATCAAGTTCACTTGTTTTTCTCAACATATTTGCAGTGGTCTATAGTATACGTACAGAATTGATCTCTTGTGAATTGATCAAGATAAAATAAGTAAAATACAGCTTCAGCTTAATTAGTCTTCATCTTCTGTTAACAGGGAAAAGGCCGATGTCCTCCATGTGTCCAACCATTCTTTTCAATAAAAACAACCAAGTAAAGATGGTGGTTGGAGCTTCAGGTGGAACACAGATCACTACTTCTGTAGTTCTGGTAAAACACGCTTCTCTGCAAGAACTACTTATTATAAATAAGACAACTATAATAATATCCATCTTTACCATTTCACAGGTTATTCTGAATGTGCTATTTTTTGACTACGATCTGAACAGAGCTGTGACAGAACCAAGGGTCCACAACCAGCTGAGTCCAAACTATTCAGTGTTTGAGCCTGAATTTGACAAAGTGAGTGTCACAAACAGTAAACAGCATTGATATATGTAACTAATATCAGGCCAGTGCACTGTGGAGACGATCCTTCATCTGAAAACTGGTTAACACTGAATACTTTCACCTCAGCCACCAGGGACACTGTTCATTACATGTAGCCTCAGGGATCATGTAATGCTGCAACGAAAGGTTTCCATTCTGTGTTTGGCTGAAAACAGGGATGCTGTTTTTAAAATATCCTACAGTACAGGTCAAAAGTTTGGACACACCTTCTCATTCAATATGTTTTCTTTATCTTCATGACCATTTACATTGGGAGATTCTCACTGAAGGCCTGCGATGGACTGGCTCTCTGTCCAGGGTGTACCCCGCCTGATTGCCCATTGACCGCTGGAGATTGGCACCAGTCGATCCCAATTTAAATCAATCCCAATCTTCAAACCCCCTAAAATGGTCTATTCTTAAGTACCGGAGAGGAGGGCAGAGGGTTCATTTTAACCAAGCGCTATGTTATGTTTTAAACCACTCAACATCTGATCAGTTTCACCTGCTTGTTTTTGTGTTTTATCTTCACCAGGGTATCGTGGAAGGTTTGATAAAGAAGAACCACGAGACCAAGCTGCTCACATCCACTGGAGCCGTGGTGCAGGCTGTGGTCCGTTATGAAAATGGCCTGCGTGCTCAGTCGGATCCTCGTAAATGGGCGTATGCAGCTGGGTACTGAGGTCCTAAATGCTCCTCTGGTTATGGAGAGCATCTGTAGCTGTCTGAACTTTGGCACCTCTGGTATGTGAGATAAGACTGTCAACAGCCGCCATCAATAATCCAAGAAACCAGATTTTACAAACGTGTCTGTGCACTTCATAACACACAGTACCTCAATGACCTCAGTAGAAACAGATTTTTACTGGATTTATGCGTCACTTTGTTTTTCTGTGTTGCTTGTTATATAAATTATGAGAACAAAGGTAGCTGTGAATGCTGATTTTACTTTTAGAACCAAACAAATTGTTTTGGCTCATTTAGGCAATCTCATGTTTAAGATAATTAGCATTACTAAAGTATTTTTGGTTGTTGGACATATGAGGATAACAGTGTAACAAAGAGCTCAGGCTGGAACGCCTTAGGGAAAAATTGTTCCATCAAATACGATAATGACTCAGAATAATTCCCCACAACCCTGAGTGCTGTGACCTTACCTCATTAGATGTGGCACTGCCCTCTGCCACCGCTGGCAGTGAGAGCTAATTTCCTCTCTGCTGAATGAGTATAGTTGTGAGTACACTCCCAATATTCAGAACGATGCTTCAAATAAATGGATCATTCAAGTGTTCATAATTTATTTTGGGGGGTGTTTGTATATATGTACAGCACAGGCTAAATGTTTGGACACACCTTCTCATTCAATGTGTTGTCTTTATTTTCATGACCATTGGGAGATTCTCACTGAAGGCATTAAAACTATGAATGAACACATGTGGAGTTATGTACTCAACCAAAAAAAGAGAAATAACCAAAAACGTGTTTTATGTTCTATTTTCTTAAAAAAAATAAGCCACCCTTTACTCTGATTACTGCTTTACACACTCTTGGCATTCTCTTAATGAGCTTCAAGACTGTTGGAAATCCATTTCAGGTGACTGCCTCTTGAAGCTCATCTGCCGTATTAAGCCATCCTCTGATGTGACATTCTGCTTGTTTTTGAAACAAGCACATCTGATGTTTGGAACTGAAGTCTGACTCGGGCAGCAGCTCTAACTCTTAAATTCAAGCTCCAGTTTCTCTCCACAAAGACACCAGACCATATATGGTAATTCCTCAACATTTTCTGAGTCCCCCAAAATGAACTTGTCTGAATATTTTAAATTCAAGTTTAAAAAAAAAAGCCCGTGGCTGACGTTTTATAAGGTATCCATGTGAGCCTTGTTTTGGCTCTTTTCCATGTATTGGAGGCATTGCAGAATCAACTAATAAACACGAATGTTATATTTAATGTTGCAAAATCCTAAGGTTTATCCTCGTATTATTAAAAGAAAATATATCTTATTGAGTTTACATGTCCACTTAGACATGGTGGTATACTTTATGGAGAATTCAGAAGGACCTTGTCACTGTCATACTAGAATCTTCCTTTAAGGCCTAATTAGGCACAGTTCAACATTCACACACTATAGTTGTGATTAACACAGTTACGCAACTCAAACAGGCCAGTATGTTAACCCTGGAGCATGAAAAAAACCTACATTCCCTGCTTGTGTAACTGAACTCCTCATTACTTTGGAAAACTTTCCTAGAGAACAAAATAGCATATAGAAAAACATCAAACTATTTTTGTTGAAGTAGCTTGCTTCATTTGAGGACTTTGTGACTGAATCAGCAGATCATTTGGTTTAATTGTTGAACATATTTGTGAAGAGTAAAAAAATAAATAGTCTTATGGCTGCTCTTTGCAGAATTCGTGACACTAAAACTATAAAAGCCAAATCTTATCCAGATTAACTCATTTGTCATTCAACAAAGACTGAGATGCTTCACACAAGGAAATTTGCATCTTCACATAACTCACAGTGAGGGCCTTGGAGGGAAGCAGAGCAGAATCCACTTAAGAAATCATTACTAATTCATAAGTTTCTCTACGGAAAATGTATCTCATTACAGTTTTCTCTTTTTTTTCACCTCAAGGCTGCTCTGGAATAAAGCTAGTTGTAAAACATGAGGTAGATTATTGGTGGTAATGCCAGTGTTGCTTAAAGGTTTGTGAAACCTGTAGATTATTTTGCAGATGTGCATAATTTTATGACCCCCACACTGGTCAGTTGAGGATGATCAGGAAATGTGCTGAATGTATTAACTAAGGAGCCGCTGTACAAATTTAATGGGTAGTTTATAATGGAGAGCGCTCTGAGTGGTCAGTGAGACAAAGGCAGTTCATTTACACAAGTCCTTTGAAAACCAAAGAAAATGCCTTTCAAACTTGAACTATAATGTATGCTTTTATGGAATACAACAAGAGACTTAGACATACCCTGTCTTTAAAGTTGTCTACTAACCGATGTACCTTTATTTTAGTCACTTGCAAACATCAAACATTTATTTTTTATGAGATCCTCCAAATGTGTGATCATCAGATGAAGGTTTAATTTACATAAAAAGGCAGAAAATTCTGTAGAGCTCACAAAGTTTTATTAAAATTTCCAAGTTCTAATAAGAAAAAAATGTTTAGAGTGTAACTTAGCTGCCATAATGTTTTATAGATACACAAATGTTCACAATTTATGACTGGAGTAAATGCTTAGTGAAGACGAGGGTCTTGGAACAAAAGTTTTACTGTGAAAATCCAAAAATCTAACAAAAACAAAACGTTATAAGCAAGAAAAAGCATTTTCATAATAAAGCCTAAAGAAAAACAGAATATACAAAATCTTCTTTTGATTTTCAGAGATTTTTTTTATATGTAATATCTGTTTAAAATAAACCTACAAGCTGCAATGGCAAATTTGAAAAACAATTTTTTTTTCATGCCTCTTAACAACGTTCTAACTGTATAGCTATTCATATATTGAGGAGATTAAAATAATTAATGAAATGGTTCTCCCACATTTGTCTAAAAACCATCTGCAACAATCGGACCATCCGGTTGTTTGTTTCGCCAAATTGCAGATCTTCTGCGGGTTCTCCATTCAATACGCACTCATGTATTTAGCAACAAAACACGACTGGTGTGATAGGTTTGTGTCTCAATAATATCAGAGAAGGAGAAACAGCCAGCTGCTACCCCTTGAACTTTAGGACAAACTACCAGAGTCCCAAAAGAAACCCCACAATATTTAGTTAGAACCTAGAAAATGATGACTGGTGTTTAGCGCTAACTCGTATCCTCTGGAAATGTGGGTATCCGGTTCAGGCAAAAGCGCCTCCAGGAAGATACCGAGAGGATGGGTGAGTGTTTCGTGACCGTGTTTGCGTTCAAATCCTAGCTTGTTTGCAGATTTGCTGTAGCAGCTTTAAAAAGTTCTTAGACAGTGAAATGCTGAAAATCACAGCACAAGTTTAAAAAGAATTAAATGGCTCCTCTACAGGAAGAAGTCCTAACAAATGTGTTAAGTTAAGTCAGAAATAAAAATAGCAACTGATAACATTCAACAGTGAGACAAAGCATTTTTCACAGGTGATTAAAACAGATTTCCTTCAAAGTTGCTCTATCAAAGATTAACAGAGACGCTACTGAAAACTGCTTTTTAGATTTTATATTTTACATCAGTACAAAAAGGCTTGAAGCAAATACGTGTGTGGTTTTCAGTTACAAAAATAGAAATAAACTTGACCTCAATAAAAAGATTTGTGGATGGAAGTGATAAAAAAGTGTCACATTTATCCTGTTTCCTTTTCTTCACCTGAAGTCTTGCAGGCTATCATATTTATGCTAAAAATCCTCCAGCTGTTAGATTTGTCTTTACTTATTGTTATGTGATGTAGCTCAACGATTCTCACGTTATTTCACATGTTAGGGCATAAACTAGTAAAGCTACATTTGCTTTATTAATGACGCTAGCTTGTCCAGGAGGCGGAAGGGCAGCAAAGGCTCATGGGAGTTTCTATAGCTAATTTATGTTATTCTATGTAGCAACTAGCTAATCCATGTTTATGTTTATAAATTTAGTCTATACTTTTATCCAAACTTACAGTTTCACTCTGCTACGTGGAGAATGCAGCCTGAGGGTCATTGTAGCTTTCAGAGTGATTTTAATTAGGGGGCCACCAATTGCATTTTTAGAATGGTAATTTCTCCCTCCAGTAGGCAGTCGCACAGATTGACACTTTCTAACATTTTTATTTTATGATTGTTACCACTGTGCCTATCACCATCAAATAATATTTGCATTTTTGTTTAGTTAATTTTCTTTTCATATAAAAAAAGTCACATTTTTGGGCTCAAGAAGACTATCCACTTGACACTTTAAAGGTCTCGACACCTCTAGTTTAACTGAACAATGTGCTAATGCTAACACTAGCTTTCACAGGAACAGAAATTCAATTTTTTTTAGATCTTTTCATTTCTGTTTTCATTACTAACAGTACTAGTGTTTTGTTAGCATCTCTACATTCTTTGTTCATTTCATTTAAATTCAATTCAGTTTATTTTATAACACTAAATCACGACAAGTGCCAACTCAAGGCACTTCACAAAGTTGCTAACTGTAATGTTGCCACAAGGGGCAGCAACAATAAGCCACCTATAATGCAATCGGATTAGCCTGGCCTGCCAGACTTGTCCTCTGTTTAATTCTACACAGAGAACTAGTCTGGTTGCTCACAGGCAGAGGCACATGAGGGGCAGGACTAGCCAGCTCAAAAATAACCAATCAGAAAAAAGGTGGAAATGCTGTATAGCGCGACACTGTTGTTTTTTAGCTGTAGACAAAAATGGCGTCTGGCGATGGTGCAAACATCTTTCTTTAGAAGAAACTTTTTCAGCGCTTCTTCCTGTTGTGGTTTTAAAGACATGTCCAAGTCATTTAGAACAGAGGAAAGAGCTGCAACGAACTCCGTTTCAGACGCTTCTCTGTTGTTAATGAGAAACTCAGTGTTACGGTGCGTGACGTATGCTGCTCAGAGCTGATTGGCTCGATCAGAATTCTCAGGGGGTGGGGTTATTTGAATAGGAGAGTTCCCAGACCCAATGATTTCTATAAGGAAGCATGGCTGGCTGGCCAAGCTACCATCTGATGCCTTTTTGGAGAAAATACTTTACCAAAAACATGATGAATGGAAATGTCCAGAGCACAACTCGTCACATTTTATAGGTGGGAGTGCAGCACACATTGTCTTTAAGGCCAAAGGTGACCGAACAGTGCTTAAAAAAGGCTTTCCTCCCTTGTTTTCAATATCCAGCAGGTTTTCCTCTCTTCCTTCTGTCCGACACAACCTCTATGCAGCCGTTCTTCTTTTCCAGGGCGTTTACCACATTTACAAAGAATTCCCATTTTCCAACTTTGTGTCCAAGAGCTTTTAGACCTTTTATCACAAACTGAAAACAACACAACATAAATGAAAACAAAGAAATTTACAGGTAAAAGATGGGACAGGATTATGTTCTAATAATTTACCCTTTCACTGGCTGGTAAACACTATACTAAACATAAGAAAAAAACACATAAAACCTCATAGGGAAAAATATATTACCTTACATTATTCTCATCCCTATGTTAATAATGTTATTATTACATGTTTATTACCAAATTTTACATAATAACTCCATTAATTACTTTAAACAATCCAAAATAAAATGAACTTTTTATTCTTAGATGAGTGGGCTACATTAAAAGTTTAGTTGTCAGTGGAGGATGATTAAAATACTTCACCTCATCAAATCCTTTTTCAAAATTCACATTGTTGTTTGAATCGACGTAGATTATAGGGGCAGCTATCGCATCCGTCAAGCTCATCCCCAGCCAGAGGTGATTAATCAGAGACTGCATGAGAGGGAAAAAGAGCCGTGTCAGCACAAGAAGACACATGAACACATTGAGTTTAACTGCTGTTTTACCAAGGCCACTGCTGAGGTAATCATGCTCCCCCCTGATCCACCAATCACAAGGATCTCCCCGGACTTTGACTCCAGTATAACTGGTGCCATGGAGGAGGGAGGCTGTTCACCTGCACCAGAAAGCCCTTTTCAGCTGAAAATCCAACTTATTACACTAAGACGGACATTTATTTAAATGTCTACTGCTGCAGGACGTTTTTTATTTACCTGCCCTCAGGGTGTTTGTCCTCCAACAAAAATCCACAAGTTCATTGTTGAGGATGACGCCTGTTTGTGAGGAATAAACACCTCCTCCAAATCTACAAAAAGACAGAAGGATTAGATGGACAACATTTTATGAAGTAAATGTGTTCAAATCTTCTCTGAAGAGTCACATTTGGTTTATGGTGCTTGTGGCAGAAACAGCCAGTCCATCTTCATCCAACACCGAAACATGCGTCGTTCCAAAGCGATCAGAAGAAGGCGTGATGTTGTAGTAAGAGTTATCATGTGTACGATCTGAAACGATCAACTTCCTGATTTTATCAGCAAAAGACGGATCAATTAAGTGCTCAGCACTCGGAAAGCTCTGGAAAAAAAAGAATATACAAGATCATTTTCAATGTGATATTAATTAAAACGTACTCTAGCTCTATGAATAAATCTTACAGACCATTAAAATCTGGAAAAGATAAAGTTACCACTCTACTTTTAGCTTTTTATCTGTGTAAACTTTGAAACTTAGTTTTTAATATTTTAATGATAAAAAATGAAGAACTGGTAAAAAAGATTAAAACACTGAGTTGAGGAGAGCCTGAACAGTTACCATCCTGGTAATAAAAACAATCATAAGAACAATAATTGTTCAGAGCCTCACGTTATTAAAAAGGGGATCATGAATGCTTCCTCTTTGTCCGTTAGCAAATTTAGCTGCCTCAATGTACAGATGGTACAGCTGCATCTTTTTGTCTCCATGCAGGGAGTCTGAACTCAGAGAGAACCCTTCAGAAGAAGAAGACAGCATTTTAATGTTTCAAATTATTCACTCAGAGAGTAACAGTAACATTACAGAAGAAATCAAACCTCTCATGATTTGGAGAATGAACGCAAGCAGAGCCCCCCCAGCAGGCGGTGGAGGAATATGCAACTGAAGGTTTCCCAGAGAAACCACCCATGGCCTGTCCACATGCACCTCAAAGGACTTCAGGTCTTCGATTGTTAAAGTTCCACCTGAGACAAAATAACCAGAGGACGAATAAAGTCTGATTTCCTCATTCCTTTGTGTTGTTTACATTTCCCACACTTTTTTCAGTGTGTATCATTAACAGCCCTGATTGCTAATATTAATCGTGCACCAACCTGCAGCTTTTACATCCTGGATCAAGTCGTGTCCGATCTTGCCGCTGTAAAAGGCGTCTGCCCCCAGTTGTGCCACTGTTTGCAGGGTTTCTGCCAGTTTAGAAAATCTCAGCGTGTCCCCTTCTGCCAGGACGGTGCCATCTTTTTTGCAAAAAATTTCACTGGACATTGAACAAACAAATGGAAAACAGAAAAGTAAACATTAGATTACTTCTGATTACTTCTAAAAACAAAAGGTGACCTGCAGTAGGGTAGGATTCATGGCTCTTTCATGGGAGCCGTTCATTAGTCGGTCATTTACCTCAAAGAGCCGTTCAAAAGACTGGCTCTTTGAAGTGAAGCCAAGAGAGCGGGGGGGGGGGGGGGGGGGCAAGACCAACGTCTTCCTGCGGTGTCTGTGAGGGCGCACGGGGTTGGTTAGTGTTCCTCCCATAGATATGAATATAAACACATGTTTATGTACATATCTATGGTTCCTCCTACGTCCGTCACAGCAGTGGGTGGGGTTTGAGTGGGTGAGTTTGACCGATTTCCGTGGAGGTTTGTTTAGATGAACGGCTCTCTGCAGGGACTCGGCTCTCATCATTCACTTTGAAAACCCGTTCAAAAGATTCGATTTGTTCGTGAATGTCACATCACTACTGTAGGGTCAGTTCACAGGATCAATGACTAAAGGTTTCCTCCTGAATGTAGAATCCAGGGTTATCATGAGCCTGTGTCCGTCCACCCAACCACCCATCCATCCTTCCATCATCTGTCTATTCGTCAATCCATTCATCTATCTGTCCATCTGTCAATCCATCCATCTGTCTGTCTGTGCATGCGTGCGTGCGTGCGAGGGGTTTGGGGCCAGAAAGAGGGGGCCGCCTATTGAGTACCGCTGATCTAGAAGAAGGCGACCAGGAGGTGTCCTGATCAAATACCTGTTTTGATGGGCAGAATTAGCTTTTCACACACAGTGGGAAATTCTTCTAAGAAACTAAAGAAAATCATCAAAAATCAGAAATGCAGAACCTTATTCTTAGTGCTCTGTCACAAAAACTTGGAAGAGACAGTGAACTTTTATTCCTGGCCTGCTGTTAACCATTACATGAGTAAAATATAATTTTCACAATCAGCACAATGAGGTTTGTGGTTTCTGGATCTAATTATGTAGAGTTTATTGTGGCTTTGGGCCTGTGTTCAGCTTTCAGTCTGTCTTCGGTTTGATTTGTATGAATTAGCATTCCACAGGATCTCAAAGCCATTTACTCTCACACAGTTGCTGGCATTTTTGCTTGTTACCGACTCTATTTCTTCCTGTATTATAGTTTATGTGTTCATTTCTAGAGGTACAATCTATAATAACGTTGACCAGTAAATGTAAAGATTTACCACAGGGAGGAGTTCTCCACATATATTTTCACCAGTGGGATGCTCATGAAGTAAGCCAGGTAAGGTGGTATGGGAAATCCCTCTCTGGCCAGTTTAATAGTTGGCTGGAAAAGCTCGGACCAGGGTAGCTTCCCATACTGTTTATGAACAGCCTCGTAGCCCCGCAGCTCTCCGGGAACACCGATCCACTTGCTGCCTACAGCATGGAGGTGGGAAGCAATTAGAAAAATGATAGAAACAATTAAAAATAACACATGAAGAGGTGCACTCAAACTGGTTTCATTCATTTTACATGCTATTAAAATAGATTACACATGCAAAATGCAAAAACAATCATCAGTGCATACTGTACACGAGTGAACAATCAATTGAGTTTCTGATAATGGTTTAAAAAGATGGAATAAATTATAGTTAAACAAACAGGATTTGTCTCAGTAGACAAGGCTGGATGGATGGTTGGATGGATTGATAAATGATCCGCACTTGTATAGCACGTTCTGAGTCAGAGGACTGCAAAGCCCATTACACTATAGTGTATCATTCATCCATTCACACACTGATGATGATGAGCTACAATGAGCAACAAATGTATGTATGTATGTATGTATGTATGTATGTATGTATGGATGAATGGATGATGGATGGATGGATGGATGGATGGATGGATGATTGAATGACTGGATGGATGGATGGATGGTGGGTGGGTGAATAGATGGATGGATGGTAGAGGAATAGATGGATGGATGGATGGATGGATGGATGGATGATTGAATGACTGGAGGGGTGATTGGATGGATAGATGGATGGATGGATGGATGGTGGGTGGGTGAATAGATGGGTGGATGGTGGATGGATGGTGGAGGAATGGATGGATGGCTGGATGGTGGGTGGATGGATGGATGGATGGATGGATGGTGGATGGATGGGTGGATGGATGGAAGGATGGATGGATGGATGGATGGATGGATGGATAGTGAATGGATAAATGGATGGATTGATGGATAGACAGATAGATGGATGGATGGATGGATGGATGGTGGATGGATGGGTGGATGGATGGATGGATGGATGGATGGATAGTGAATGAATAAATGGATGGATTGATGGATAGACAGATAGATGGATGGATGGTGGATGAATGGATGGATAGATGGCGGATGGATGGATGGATGGATGGATGGATGGATGGATGGTGGATGGATGGTGGGTGAATACATGGATGGATGGATGGTGGATGGATGGTGGGTGAATACATGGATGGATGGATGGATGGATGGATGGATAGACAAATGGATGGATGGTGGATGGATGGATGGATGGTGGGTGAATACATGGATGGATGGATGGATGGATGGTGGATGGATGGTGGGTGAATACATGGATGGATGGATGGATGGTGGATGGATGGTGGGTGAATACATGGATGGATGGATGATGGGTGAATACATGGATGGATGGATGGTGGATGGATGGTGGGTGAATACATGGATGGATGGATGGATAGACAAATGGATGGATGGTGGATGGATGGTGGGTGAATACATGGATGGATGGATGGATAGACAAATGGATGGATGGTGGATGGATGGCTCTGTTGTAACCTTTGATGTGTTTTTGCTCATTAGTTTTTGAGAAATTTGCATCTGATTATTTTTTTGTTAACTAAGCAACTTAACCCTCTGGAGACAGGCGTTGCAGATTTACAGCAGTTAAAACCTACCTACCTGGTTACTCCACAAACGTATTTCATGAGCATTTTTTAACTCAGAAGTACCCTGAAGGACTCAGTTGTTTGTCCTTTTATCAAAACTTATTTTGAGCCTGAGAGGGTTTATAGGAAAAGATTCCTTTAGGTGCATTTAACTCAAAACTAAAAGTCACTGAGACCAATTCCATAACATAAAACTGTTTAATCTGAAACTGCTCATCAAATTTTATTAAAGTATTAATTCATTTATTATTTTAATTATTATTATGTCCTTATTTATAACATTTTTGCATGCATAATTTAAGTAACTGTGTTTGTTTTATGTTGCTGCCTATGTTGGCAGGTCATTCAAAAACAGCTTTTTAACATCAATGGGATCGTTCTGGTTAAATAAAAGCTAAATTAAATAACTAAGTAAAGAGATTAATCTGTGTTATGTCGACATATAAAAGAAAACACAGAAATAATTGATTTTAAATAATATCTTTAGACTCAAAATCCCAATTTATTCCCATTTATTTAGCTGAATCATTAAAACAACAAAGCTAATGTAGTTAAACAGACCTAAAATTGTATATAAGCACCATAAATTGTCCCATTTCAATTATTTAATGGGATTATTAAGAATATTTAGCTGGTTGGAAACAAGATATAAAGTTGGTTTCAAAGACTTGGAACATCTTACAGACATGGTCTGGATCACTGGACCCAAAAAAGACATGATCTGCACATCCATGCGACGTTGACTTTTTGCAGGGAGAAAGGGTTCAAACATATGGACGGTTCGATTTTAGAATAAAATCATAGGTTTAGATCTTTGAACCCAGTTTTGTTTATTCTATTATTTTATTTTTCCTCCAATCCAGTCAGTTCGCATCATTCTGACACCAGAAATGACTAAAACGTCATTCTAACATCGTCTTTTTTTGTCCCACCGCATCTTAGTAACTCCTACTCCCCAGTTTTGGTCTGCAACTGGACACAGTATGTCTCGGTCTGCTTTGTTGGAAGATCCAGCTGGAGAGCAACTCCAACCAGAACCAGCAGCAGATGGGGAGCAGAGTAAACTCCTGAATGCTTCAGGGCAGAACAAGGAGTATTGTGGCAGTCCATCTGTGGGACTGGCTAAGAAGTGTGTTTAATAATCAACCTTGGAAATTACAGATAATAAATGCTTTTGGTGGTTTTGCATGTAGTGGATATAACAAAAGTACTTCTTAGCTAAAAGAGCATCTGGAATTGATCAAAAGAAAGTATATTTGAGACAAAACTGCTTTTAGGTTCTTTGGTGTGAGACAGTAGTGGACAGCTCTACTTACCTGTGGACAGAGTGAATGTAGTGGGACAATCCTTTAACAAGTTGGGTTTGATGGACTTGGGGACACACTCCCTGAAGTTGTAGACTTTAACATCGCCTGATGGAGAGATGAGAAATGATTAACAAACCAAAACCATCATTAATAAATCAGTAAATGTGAGAAAATAGCATTTAAGAAGCAGAAACAAACCTGTTTTATTTCTTATGACTAGTATAGAGCCTCCTCCTATCCCCATGCTCTGAGGATTCACCACAGATGTGCACAGGAGAGCTGCAATGGCGCCATCTACTGCTGAACCCCCCCTCTGCAGCATCTTCCTGCAGACATTTACAGATTATTTATAGGCTTAAACCAACTTTATAATAAAAACTGTACGACCTCATTGATACTCATGTAAACATGTTTTTTTATTTTATTTTTTTTTTTGCATAGTAGAGCTGCTCCCTGCCGGGTGCAACTCTGCTCGGCCTTTTTTTCCCTCCCCAATTCTCCTCATGCATTCCCCTCTTCATCTATTGAAATGAGCACCGTTATGGCTGCTCTCGTGGTCTGCCTGTATCTGTTTTGTCTATATGTGTGTGTGTGTAACCTTGGTCAGGCTGTTCTGTGGAGTCAAGTTCCTATGCTCTGGTTCGCTGGAGCACTGGCAATAAAATTCTTTCTGATTCTGATTCTGATTCTGATTTATTACTACTACTACTACTACTAAACTTTATTTATATAGCGCCTTCACATGGCCCAAGGACCAAACAAAGCTCTGCACAGCAGAAATGAACATAAAAAATAAAAACAATTTAAAACCATTTAAAAACCAACAAAAACATGTAGATAAAATCTAGGTGGGGCAGCAAAAAAGTGCAAAGCCATCCGTTAACGAGACTCTTCTTGAGTAAAAGCTAAAGAATAAAAGTGAGTTTTCAGCTGGCTCTTAAACTTGCTGAGCGTGGTGGCCTGTTTAACACATGTAGGTAGCTCATTCCAGAGCCTCGGCCCCAGCACCGACAAAGCACGACCCCCTCGATATGTCAGTCTGTGTTTGGGAACGACCAACAGTCCTTGCTGTGCTAACCGACGGTTCCTTGTGGGAACATAAGGATGGATCAGATCCAATAGATAACGTGGAGCCAACTCATTTAAACATTTAAAAACAAACACCAGAACTTTAAACGAAATTCTAAAAGAGACTGGAAGCCAGTGTAGGGATGCCAAGATGGGCGTGATGTGTTCAGATCTCCTGGTACCAGTCAGTAACCTGGCTGCTGCATTTTGGACCTTCTGCAGTTTCACTATGGAGGCCTGCTTATGGCCCTTTCAGACCTTAGGGTTCATTACGCCACGTCACTTGGGACCAGGCCTGAAGATTGACATGTCTTTACGCAGCCAAACCACAACACATTCTTCAATGTTTTTGATCATTAAACTTTAATTTTGAGGTACATTACCACTAGCCTGGCAAGCCAGACTAGCAAGAATTTGGTCTAGTTCACTAGGCTACATTACCACAGCACATTTGTCTTAATGTGTTGTACTAAAGCTTTGACTGAACAACAGCTAACTGAACATGCAGGGAGAAGGGGGGCAGCTCCTTCTGGGACACTGAATGGGTCTTTTTACCCAGAAGCTGGCGCAGGACCACAAGTGCCTGCTGAGCGACAACTGAAGGCTGTGTTGGGAATGTTTGGTTCCTGTAAAGATCAGGTCAGTGTGAACCTGTACAGAGTTCAGCAAACCAAGAGTTACCAGACTGACAGACAGTACCAATCGTTTAAAAACAAGCAAGGGAAAGAAATGTTTCATCCACACAGATAAGTTTTGGGAAAACTGGAGATATATGCTGATAACTAAAGGGCATGATACAAAAATATGTTTTGTGTGTAAAAACTGATCAAAATTATCAAAAAGTATAAAAACAATATTTATGTGATGTTTAAAGGTGTGGAACACGGAAAACATGTTTTGATATAATTTCTGATTTCTTGAGTTTTTTTAATGCTGAATGTAAATGAAAATAGTCTCCTACATCTATCTCCTGCATTTTCTTCTGATAGAACATAGAGAGTGAAACTCTAGGATTTGAAAAGCCTGACAGATCTACATCATGCTGTCACTTAACATTTATGGACTCACATATCTTTACTCACGACGGGGAAGGCTGTTGTTGGTTTAGCGTCCAGGAAACAGCAGAGAATGTCTAGGCTTGTAGAAGCTAACCATTAGCATTAGCAACTCCACCACAAAGCACAAGCTCCTCCAGGCTTGTGTTATTTGTGGAGATCAAACATCCAAGGTGCAAGCCAGTGGTAGAGTCGCATTGCTGTTATCCAGTCTGTGGTGAGACATTAGGATATCATGACTCAAGACTCCAAATCCTGTCGTCTGAAGCTCAGCTGTGAGGTGGCTCATTTCTAGTTCCTAGAAGTGGTGCACTAGTGACTTGCTCTTTGAACACAGCTTGCGTTGTCAATTAGTTCAGGTGAAGAACAACCAGAAATTGCTTATTGTCCCCCGCACCCGATTTAAGACTCATCGTGATCGGGCTTTTCACGTCCTTGCACCCTCTATCTGGAACCAGCTCCCGCTCAATCAAACAGTCCCCATCACTGGCAGTCGTTAAGAGGTTGAAGACTCATTTTTATAGGATGGCCTTTTCCTAATGCTTTTGGTTTCTGGTTTTTTATGTTTTGCTTTTAGCTTTTTTTTAAACTACTTAATTTAACTACTTGAAATTTCTTTTATCTCAATTTTATCTCATTTGCATTTTATTGTTCTCACAGAGGGCTGCGCAGAGGTGCAGTGGTTAGAACTGTTGTCTTGCAGCAAGAAGGTCCTGGGTTCGCTTCCCAGCCTGGGATCTTTCTGCATGGAGTCTGCATGTTCTCCCTGTGCATGCGTGGGTTCTCTCCGGGTACTCCAGCTTCCTCCCACTGTCCAAAAACATGACTGTTAGATTGGTCTGTCTATATTGTCCTTAGGTGTGTGTGTGTGTGTGCGTGGTTGTTTGTCCTGTGTGTCTCTGTGTTGCCCTGCGATGGACTGGTGGACTGGCTTTCTGTCTAGGGTGTACCCTGCCTGATTGCCCATTGAACGCTGGAGATAGGCACCAGCCCCCCGCAACCCTACGTGGACAAAGTGGGTTCAGACAATGGATGGATGGATGGATGGATGTTCTCACAGCTGTTTATGTTCTTATTTTGTTTTTAATGTTTCTATGACTTGCTACTTTTCTCTTTGTTACTTTTCTTGTCCGGCGCCTTGGGCCCCCTTTGACGGTGGTGGAACGTGCTAAATAAATAAAGGTTGATTGATTGAAGAATGATTTTGTGTTGCACAAATGCTAAAAAGGCAACAAGCGGTTATTTTCTGAAGAATTGAAAAGGTATTTTTGTCCACAATCTTGTCATTTCTGTAGAAATACGTAAAAACGTATTTATCTATAACCGTCACACACAGATGGCACAATGAACCTAATTGGGGGTGGGGGGTGGGGGGCATGTTTCTCCACTTTTTCCAAAGTCAATTTTTGACTCCAAAACCTGACGTCTTATGCTCATTTGTGATGTGGCTCACTTTTAGTGCAGGAACTTGTGCATTGGAGGGTTTTTTTTTGCCTCCAGAGGAAACTAGAGATCACTGCAAATGTTTTCATTAAACGAGTGTTCCACACCTTTAATTTTTTAAAATACTGAATTATAAATATGATAAATTAAAAAGGTCATGTTAAAACTTATCATTGACCCTTATTAATATAACAAATATATAATAAAATGTATCCTTTATGTTATTTTTTATTATGTAGTTGCATGTAACAACATAAAAATAATGAAAAACATAAAAATGTATAAAACACTTCACCAGAAGGCAGCAGACATGATTAATGGCAGGTTTGTACTAATGATATTACTCTTTCTGGATGCTGTAAAGTGGCAATGTGTAGTTTTTACCATTAACCTCTGGAAATATCCATCGAAATGTTGTTTAAAATGAATTAAATGATGCTCAGCCATTGATGAATATTGGTGGCTTTGTAACATATAACCATAGCCTCAGGGCAACGCCATGTTTCCTTCTACAGGAGCCCGTGAGGACAAAGCACATTCACTTATCTGTAACAAACCGTTACAAAACTTTTGCCATTCATAAACATTGTTGTTTTACACATTTACCTCTTCCCTTGTGATGAAAGGGAGTCTGATGTGCTTTTCATTTTGCTGGAGGTTGAACGATCTGACAAAGCAATCATTCAAAAATAATGTGCTCTCAAGGATTTTTTTTACTCAAATGGCCATCATATGGTAAGGTCCTACCCAAAAATGCTGCTTGCTAGCAATGATGTACTGTCCCATATCACCAGGGAACATCCATACCATCACTTTAATGGTTGAACGTTCAATAATTTTAAGTCCTGTTTTTTACCCAAACAAAAATCTGAAACGATCACAAATGTGAGATTTTTGAAAATAAATACAATCGTAAAAACCAAATAGCTTTGCTTTTCATTTGATCGTTTTTTGTTGAAAGAATGCAATGTCAGCATCTTTAAAATCTAAAACAAGTCAAAGCTTCAGAGTGGTCTATTGTCTCCACCTGGGGAGGGATTCACAAGAACTGAAGACAAAAGCAGGAAGAACAGCTCACATTCCATTATTACTAGAGGTCTTGTCAAGACAGATTGCATTAGTTTGGACTTTGATGCACAGATTAGAAATCATTCCCTTTCAATTAGACCGATCAGCACAGGTTTGAAACTTTTGATTATGTCATCGCTCTCTTGTGAAATAGAAAGGGTCTAGTTCTGCTGCTATAATCTCTATTGTTGCCAGAGCCCACAAATCTCATAACCAGCTTATCACCTCACCCACAACAGATAGTCTGATGAAATCATATAAACAAACATCACTTACATTAAAACTTCTCTAACTAAATTAGATTTGCAGACAACAACAATAAAAGTCTAAACTTAAACAAATAATTTGAATTTATTCAACCATCATTCTGCAACAAAGCGGATTTTGTCAGATAACTTACTTCCCAATCTCGGAGCAGATCTCGGAGTCGGCAGCGACGGCCGCGTTTTTGAAGCTGCTGCTCCTGCAGCGTCCCGCTCCAATAAAAGTAGCGATGCCGAGGTAGACAAGGGCCGCAGCGCAAACCACAGCGAGCAGCACGCAGCTGCATGTCAGCAAAGGCTTCAGCTTATTCGCCATCGAGCTGCCCGAGGGGGGAAAGTTTGCGCTGGAGGATCGGGACGCGTCTGCGGCTGCTCGGCGCGGTGCGCAGAGGACTGGAGAGATGAGCGTGAACGTGGGGGGTTCCTTTCTACCCCTCCTCCTCCTCACTCTGAAGTGTGTGTGTGTGTGTGTGTGTGTGTGTGTGTGTGTGTGTGCGCGCGCGCGCGCGCGTGTGTGTGTGTGTGTGTGTGTTTGCGCGCGCCCGCGTGCTACTGGACGTCCTTATGGTGGGAAATAGGGTTGTATGATGATTATCCCACTGGGATTCCGGTGATTGGCCACCGTTCCAAAATATACCCTTTCACTCTTGTGCAATAAAGAATGAGGCTCTACTCGAACCTTTCCATGGGCCCCCTTTTCTTTCCTTCTGTTGCAGATATATCATATCAGCACGGTGTGTCAGTGACCCCAACATCAGAGCGCAAAGGATTCCAGATGCTGAAACGCTTCCAAGCATGCAGATTTACTAAGAATGTCTTCAAAGAAACACTTTTCAGATTTAATAAACAATGAATGCATTTTTATGAGAGTTATATCTTCCTTTTTTGACTTAGCTAGTGTAATAAGCTACAAGGAACCAGTGGTGGAACTAGAAATTTGTATCTTAGGGTCACAAAAGGTGAGGCATGGGGAGATGGGGTTCCAGCAGGGGGGAGTGGGTTCATGTTGAAAAAAACACGTTCAGACTTCCTTTCCTGCATTATCTGTTTATGCAGGCTTTTAGGCAACAGGCATGAAGTGACTTGTAACACAGATGTGTTATCAGCAGCTTCATCTTTTGCTTTCGATTCGCACAATCAGTTGTTTTTGTAAAGCGTCTGAACAAACACTCAATACCGACATTTATTTCTAACATGAAGCTGTTCAGCAAATTTGAAAACAAGCTAGGTTTTGAACGCAAAGACAATCATAGAAGACTCACTCCCCCTCGGGTACCTTCCTTGAGATGCTTCTACTGGAACCAGAAACCCGCCATTCCGGACGAAACGATATAGTGCAGAACACCAGTCACCGTTTTCTAGGTTCAAATGTCTTGATGTCTGTGACTTCAGATGGTGTTTTTCTTTTTGGGACTCTGGTTGTCCTAAAGCTGAAGAGGTAGCAGCCGCCTGTTTCTCCTTCTCTGATGTTACTGAGTGGAGAACCTCTCACACCAGCGGTGTTCTGTTGCTGAATACGTGAGTGGGTAATGAATGGAGGACCCAGGGAAGAGCGGAAGTGAGGCAGTTTCGTGAGACAGACAACTGGATGGTCCAATAGTTGCTTTATGTCTGAAACATGTTATTGGCAGAGGTTTTGAGACAAATGTGACAGATCCATTTTGTTTATTATTTCATCGTTTTTAATCACCAAAATATTTATAGCTATACTATGTTAGAACGATGTTAAGAGGCATAAAAAATGTTTTTAAGCAAATTTGTTTATTAAATTTGCCATTGCAGCTTTAAAGCCGATTTTTTCCCCAAACTTTGCAATGATTCGAGCAAGGGTGTAATTTTAAATTCTAGTATTTGTGTGTTTGTGTGAATGCGCGCAGGTGGAGGTCAGTGAATAAATATATACATTTATTTTTTAAATGTCTGGTCAATAGATCTAATTTAGCTCAAGGTCGACCTTGTTTCAGTAATAAATAAGTCATGACTGAACCAAACAAGCTTCATGAAAAAGTGGAAAACGTCTTCCACCTTAAATTACAATCATGCATTCTAGATGCTGTAAATAATTCTACTCATAAAACTGTAAAAACTATTTTTACACAGTGATCATTTAAGCATAAACAGTTAATAAATGGTTTATAAATTAAATATCAATCTTCTAAATCTCAGAAAATTAAAAAATAAAAGATTTTATAACAAATTATTATTAAACCGCCTATTTAAAAACGTTGTTTGCCTGTGAAATATTAACCTGCAAGTTATTTAAATCCTGTAAAAACTGCAGCTCCCTGCATGAATAAGAAGAACAAAACTGTAACAGGTCTCAATAATTACTATAAAATTAATAAAAATATACAAACAAGAGAAAGAGGTGGTCTGTGTTTATCAGAGATTTAAAACGTAACATCTAGAACATCTGCTATGACATGGGACAACAAAATCTAATTACATGGCTGTTTTACTGTAATCTGACATGTAAAATGTCACTTCAGTTTGGCATTTTAATTCAAATAAAGTAGAAACAAATGTCTCTTCTGCTATGACTCACTAACTGACTGCTTTGTGTCCTTGTCTGTTTCGAAAATTGTTTTCTGTCTTCCTGAAATAAATAAAGAGAAGCTCAAAATTAGTCACACAAAAATAAATGTTTAATCAAGGCTGGCGATGAAAGGACTGAAATAGACAACATGATGAACTCGCTTTGCCCTTCAGCTGTCTTGTAGTTAAAGTTTATTCTAGCACAGGGACTCCCTAAGTGTGGTGCACGCACCCCAAGGGGGTGCGCGAGCTGCCGCTAGGGGGTGCGCGAGGTGAAAAGTGTATTGGCTGCGGAGCTCAGAGAAGTCTGTCATATGTCGCCATTAGCATAGCCAGAAACTCATTTGTGGATGGGCCTAAGAAAAAGTAAGTGGGCCCAATAAATGTAATTGAAAACAAGTATATTTTGCGTGTGTGTGTGTGTGTGTGCATGTGTGTTCCCTCCACATGTGCCCTAGCTTCATAATAACAATGCACCGAGCTTCAGCACTCTGGCCTGCACACGCCGATATGTTCCGTATTTGATCATTTTTAACGATGTTGGAGAAATCTGAAGGTGGTGCCTGCCAGATTGTAATTAACACCTGTCTCATGCAGGTGTTCTGACATTGTAAACCTCCTACACAGAACATCGTGGATGTAACAAAATAAATCAAGACATGATTCCCATCTGAGCATTTTAGCATTATTATATTAGCACACTGACTGTGGGACAGCATTCTAAACGTGTCAGGCTATTAACAGCGCGCTGAAAATCTGAAGTTCTGAGTGCGTCTGTCAGAGGTCAGATGCGTTCCAGCGGAACCACGGCTCACGGGTGCACATGTGAGCACATCTGGGCTGGGCAGAAGTAATTTTACAACATTGGTTTAAATAGCGCCAATAATGAGATGCGGTGACTGGAGCGGCTCATGGAGCTGTGCCGCACACACAAACACACACACACACACACACACACACACACACACACACACACACACACACACACACACACACACACACACAGATTCAATAAGCACACGCGCCGCACCATCAGACTGAAGGCAGAAATGAGTGCTGCCTCCTCCGTCATTAAAAAAAAAAACCTTTTAAGAGGTTTTATAACAACATTTTTCATTCAAGGTCATATTAGCTTCCATTTTGGGATGACGTATTAAATTGGAGTCCGCTCCAGCCAGTGACTCCTCATGAACTTGACCACAACTCCTGTTACTGCAGCATTTGTTATTCCAGTCCGCGTGGCAACGGATCGCAGATTCAGCCACACCATAAAACAGCAATAAGTCGGTCTGAGGCAGACGTGAACCGCATGGCTATATCTTTTCCATCTTTTCCCCTATAGACATTTGATTACGCACAAGTTGGTGGCCAGTTCAGGTTTACGTAGAGCAGAAGGAAGGCGAGAGCTCTGGCCACAGGTTAAACGTTCCTACTTTAAGAAAACCGTTAAATTGCATTGTTGATGTGCTACCTGGGCACTCTAAATATTGATTTAAAATTAAATCAAAGGAAATTGTAATGGTATTGAATGTTTATTAATTACTATTTAAAAAATGAAAGTGATGGGGAAAAAGGTTGATCATATTTTTTAACCCTGTCTGTCGAGTGACTGTTTAGCTTGACGTCTGATGTATGTATGTATGTATATATATATATATATATATATATATAGACAGAAAACATATTGAAATGAGCCGACATGAACAATCGCGTGTTAAATTAGTTTTTGAGGTGGCGACACCTGATTTGATAATGTTACTGTGGCCGTGCTCAGGACGCATATGTCTGGAGCGTGTCAACAATCAGAGCTTTGCATGCGCAAGCTGGTTAAGGTTAGGATGGGGGTGAGGGGAATGTTAAATTGCAAGAGGGCTAACGTCACAATTTGGTTAAATGTCCGTTTTACGGCGGGTGTCAGTACCGACGCTCTGGCACAGCGCGTTGCCTCCCGACGCGCAGGAGCTCGTCACCTGCTGACAGCAGGCTGCTGTCTTTTCCGAGGACTGCATCTTGCCGGTCATTATCACGTGACAGCGACTAGTCGATGACAGGCATAAAAAGTCACTATAGAGTGGTGAAGTCGACTTGTGACTAGTTCATACAACCCCTGCTACTGCTCCCCAGAGTGTTCTGCAGCATAATCAGCACGTTCTCTTTTAACTTGATATCAAATTTTTGCCTCCTCTTCGTCCCCGCACTGTTAAAGTTACCCTTGCGGTCTATCACTGGCAAATCAAAAGTGAGACGGATGACAAAACCGCCGACTCCGACCAAAATATGATACCCGGCAGTTAATTAAATACAGGCTAATATTACGGTATATATATATATATATATATATATATATATATATATATATATATATATATATATATATATATATATATATATATATATATATGTATAACCATGCCCTGATGTGGGGGCTGGGGGGGTGCATCGACATGGTCGGGCATAGAAGGGGGTGCGCAGCTAAATAAGTTTGGGAACCGCTGTTCTAGCAGGTTTACATGTCAGGTGCAGATGAGTCTGCATGAGTGGATTCAAAAAAGCAAACATGAACAACACAAAGAAGAAGGAGTCAGTGGAGCTTGGATTGTTTATATGTGGGGTAGTTGAGCAAGACCCAAGCCTGAATGAAAAAAAAAAAAGAGTATCTTGTCACTTTAATTTATTTTTCCCAGTTGATGTAGGACCTTTCCGAGCAGTTTGCCCTGAGTCTGTCTTTGTTCAACCAGTGCTGGGTGTTGTGCTTTAAATGAACAAAGGCAAAAATACCCTTTTTGACTCATGAAAGTTTATCTTTCATCTGTCTTACATAACAAAGCGGTCTACGGGTTCCAGTAAAACATGCTTTCAACGAACACAATGCAGGAAGTAGGAAGAT